GTGGGATAAATGAGGTCTGCTAGCAGACAGCAGCAGCCATGAAGCACTGTAAAAGCCCACCCAACAATGAGCTACTCAAATATTTTACTTGGACACTTACCTGTGCATGAATCAAAGACTGGTTGGAATTTTCTGTCACCTAACCCTGTCAGCAAGATGATAAATCTTGCAGCAACACTCAGACAAGTCTAACACTTGAATTCCACCATGGATGTAAAGTATGTGTTGTAGGTTTTTGAGTAGATGAAAAAGGCTTGGGACTTTTAGGCTGCTATAGATAAATCCCAGAGAAAATTAAGCATAGTGCAAAGCCTAGTCTAGAATCTATGGATTTGCTGCTTTCCTCTAATTAACAACAACAACAAAAATGCAGTAAAGAGATACAGTGACATAGCTATAATGAACTGTGGTGGGTTGATCCCAGCCAGCAGCTAAGCATCTACACAGCCGCTCATTCTTCCTCCACCATCCAGTGGGGCAGGAGAGTGAACATGAAGAGCTAGAGTGAGAAAATCCAAGGACTGAAATAAGTTTATTAAGTGAAGGAAAAAAACAGTAACGTAAAAGTAATCACTATTTCCTATAAGCAGACCGATGCCTCCCTAATCTCAGAGCAACAGCTACTGTGGTAGTCACCCCTCTGCCTTCTTCCTCTACCTCAAGTTTTATTGCTGAGCATGATGTCATACGGCATGGATTACTCCTTTGAAAGGCCTGGGCTAGCTGTGTCACCTCACAGATTCTTCCATCCCCCTAGCCAGGACCCCAGGAATGAGCAGAATGACAAAAAGGGGAAAAAAAAACCCACGCACACGCTGTTCAGTAATAGCCAAAACATCAGCATGTTATCAATGCCATTTTAGTCACATATTCAAAACACAGCTTTCCTTCATCAGAGCCCCTATGGTGCTAGCTCCTTTCCAGGCAGAGCCACGGATATTTGCTTAAACTGAGAAGACAGTCACCAGCACAGTACTGAGAGTTGGTCTGTACCTACCTTCACTGTGTATGGGGCATGGAGATCTCAGCCCTCTAGATGCAAGAAGCCATGGATGGCCTCCTCCATCACTGCCCTTTACTCCATCACAGTAAAATTCCTCAGAGAAAAATATAGGCTTTGATAAGAGCAGTTTGACTTTTAGCACAGAGGAGTAAGTTCCAGGAAAGAAGAACTTAAGGAAGGAATTAGTGTTGGTGTATTCATAACTTCCTAAGGAATCATATTAGAAAGCAGGATCTTGGCATTAGTGTTGGGAGGGCTCAGGTGTAGATACAGGTGCTGCACACTCCAGTGACAGAGTGCCACCTAAGGGCTGATTGCAGGGAGAGAGCAACACCAGGACAGAAACAAAAAGGCGTTCATGTAGGGCCTCAGAAATCCCACTGATTCAGCTATACAACAATCTGAGCAATTTTATGGTATCTGGTTGAAAAATAAAGAAAAAGAGTAGTAAATCCTACAGTTCCACCTCAAAGTTGATTGGTTAAGGTGTTTTAGTGGTGGATTCACCAATATTTCAGAAGACTGGAGGCATGCCACATTTTCCCAGGGACCACTGTCGGGGGGGGGGGGGGGGGGGTACTCATAAACATCAAATTTTCAGGGAGTAATTTGTGTCCAGAAAACCTTTTAGAACACCTGCCTTAGAGGCTTAGTCATAGAATGATTGAATGGCCTGGGTTGAAAAGGACGTCAAAGACCATATAGTTTCAACCCCCCATCCACGGGCAGGGCTGTCAACCACCTGACCAGGCTGCCCAGAGCCACATCCAGCCTGGCCTTGAATGCCTCCTGGGATGAGGCATCCACAACCTCTCTGGGCAATGTATTCCAGCGCAGAGGTGATCCTACCTTCATCTGGCATTGGTTCAACCAGAAGATGCTTCTTTCATTTTTTAATCGCTGTTTGTTCCTGACATGATGTTCTAATGCACTGACACATTTTCAAGTAGACCACTGGTGTAATATTTTCCTTAAAGCATCGCGTGCTTAGCAATGCAGATTTCAGAAATGCATCCACAGTGGAGACAAAGGTGTAACTCAAAGATATAGCATGCTTAAGCATGTTGTGTTTCACAATGAGTGATGAATGCAACTATTCAGATGTCATTTTCTAGAACACATCATTACAAAACATATGCTAACTTCTGCAGACAAAGCATTCAAGAAGCATTTGTAAAATACAGTCTCACCCACTCTGAAGCTATTTCCCTGCCAAGCTTCCCATTTCCAGCTTCCCCAGTTTACTGGAAGGAACAGACTTCCCTGGTGAGTTGGGAAATAACCTTAACATCAGTGGATCTCCACTGCTAAGCAGTGTCAATGTCTGTATGGTAGATGCTAAAAAGGAGAAAGACCCCCATACCATCAACTTCAAACATGCTTCTTATATGCTGACAATGACATAATGTCACAGTAGTACAACTGCTGCATTAGAATTTAGGTTTAGATGCAGTGGAATCCCTTAAACAATGGAGATGGAAATAAATATACTGCGAAGGTGCAGAACCTATCAGAGACCGGTTAACCTCACAGCAGTAACACAGGAGCCCTACTTCAATTTCCACTTGTCACACAGCAGGAAGTGTTTTCACTGGTCAGGCTTGGCAGGGTTAGTGACCATCATTAACTTTTTACTGAGATTTTTTTTCCATTGGGGTTATGATTTTGCTTGTTTTAAAGTTGAAGGCTGCATGTAAAAGTTTAATTACTTACTAATTATATTGCAGAACTAAAAAAAAAAAAAAAAGGAAAAAGAGAACAGGATCTGAATTTTCATCCATAATGTTCTGAGCAGCTTTCCTTCTCCTGGAAGTTATCACACCTAGTTAGTCAAGCTTTGCAGCTCTACATTTGCCCTCAAGGAAACCTTGGCCTGGTATTTACATCAACACCCTTGGATGAAACTATATGAGACAAGCACGTGGGCATTAATCATTGTTTCTCTGGAATTCTCACCACAATTTCTAGTTTGGAGGACACTATTAAACTCTTAGTAGACCTGAGCTGACTTGAATGCCGTGATCAACAACCCAGCAATCAGTTTACCAAGAAAACAGAAACAGACGCACTGCAACAGCACTGCTGAGCTTAACTAAAATTGTGACAGTGCAATAGTCAAAATCACAGGCATGATTGCACACCTGTGAACCTAAAGCAGGGAGATGAGGTACACTACCAGGAAATTTCATTTCCAAAGAAATGCACTTTCCTTACCTCCAACTATTTTTCTCTGCTGAAGAGATTATAAATGAATGGCAATGTTTGATTTTCGTTGTACACTGGTTGCTCCAGAAGTAATGCCTCCCAATTATTTCCTTTGAAACTACAACTAGTAGTTTTTACTACTTGTAGAAATACAAACAGTGCAATAACATTATTTGATAGAGCACATTCTCAACTACAAAACACTATTTTTCACCATAGTCAGCACCATTAGCCACGCATTTTCATCAGCAATGAATAGTAGCCCGCATACCATGCTCATAAAAAAATCTGCATTGGCAGAGGGGACTCATTGCTGCTGTTGCCACTGCTGAAACACACCACCCACCACCTCACTGTGTTCACATCCACTGTTCAGTCTCTGTAAACATTCACCAAGCATCAGTGAATGTCAAAAAGAAGTTGGCCTCCTCACAGCAGTGCTTTAATTGTATCTTCAGGCTAAGGAGGGAGCAGCACGGGGCTACACATGATCACATTCCTTAGAGCAGGAAGTAAGCTTAGCAATACAACCAAGAATTGCAAAAGACTAGGGCAAAGATATTCACATATAAGTAGTATGTTAATTCACTCAGTTCAAATCAGAGCCCAAAAACTTTTAAACCAGTTCTAAAAAAAAAAATTCTAGAAATTTTGCTGTGGGGATGACAAAATAAAGCAATTGTGATCTTAGTATGAGTCAGTTCAGTTCACTAGCACAACTTCCAGTGATTCTTCACCTTTCCAATTCTGTCACCTCCAATTTCTCAGTGAAGTGAGTTTCTGGCATTTTTAAGACTGAAGAGTACATGTAGTGCTGCGAGTGTACTGATTTGTCTGTGGACAATTCTACCATAACACGCAGTTGCAAAAGAGGTGGCTATTTACACATCAAGGTAGCAAATCAAAATGAACTGTCAAGGCATCACATCTTTTCAAAACAGAGCAGCACTGTTACTGTAGCAGAACTTACTGAGCAGCTGTACCTTAAAAGACTCCTTTGTACATGGCTAGCAAATTTGAGTAGATCCAGTTTTGCAAGTAACATTCCATCTTCCTACCTATATCCTGCTATATAAATACTTACACCCCCACAGCATCAAATCTTCTCCTATTAGGAGAGAACCTCAAAAGCAAGAAAGCGCAAGTAATCAAGCCACGAAACCAGATTCACTTCAGAAGAAAAACCAGCTCAGGAAACTCCAAAAACTACAAATTCAAAGGCATGGCATGAGGTTTAAAGGCAGCTGAGACAAGAACACTTATATATCTTTCCACACAGGATTTTCAAAACATCACCAAACATATACTGAAGATGTCCAAATCCTACAAAGCAGATAGGTTATTGGCATCAATAATTAAAAAAAAAAAAAAGCAATTTCAACTGCTGTTTCTTTTATTTCAGCTTAAGGAAGCAAATTCTAAGGACTTTTCCTTCCAGATATCAATCAAATTTGACTGCCCAAATGAAGTCACTTGTCAAAACATCTAAAAATTAAGATCTATTTTTAGTAAAGATTTGAGTCACACATTCCTAAAGAGAAGCTTTATAATGAAGAGATGTCTTCTACTACTGTGCAGCACCAGCCAAAAATGGACTGCTACTTTCCGATTCCATCGGTTATAATGAAGTAATAAAAGAAACTGTGCAATGTTATTATGTTGACATTCTGCTTACTCTTTAAAATAAAAATGAAACATATATCAAGTATTAATAAGAATAGTCGTGAAAAGCATGTTATAAAAAGGGAAATTTATTAAAAGAGGAACACATAAAAAAGAAATCAAGAACCATATCTGTTCATAAGCCTTTATATTATTTTCTGCAAAGGGAGGTCAATTCCTACCTTGGCAACAACGTTTCTATAATATGAAAACACAAATTGATTCCCTGAGCAAAGCTCTATCTGAATTGCAAGCACAGGTATGAAAGCGTAAAGAAAAAAAATAAGTCTAATTCAGACTCTTCCTAGGAGCCTTCCTTTCTATGCTTTCAAATACATAGGCATCAGTCAGTAGCAAGTTGAAAGCAAAAGGACACTTTTTCTCTCTCAGCGCATGGTTACAACAAGTGGAATTCAAGGCCAGATGATGTAAATGAACGCTCTACGGAGGTTCAAAAAGCAAGAAAGGTATGGAAGAAATCTGTGTTTCTTCATACACCTTTGAAAAAAAAAATCCTTCATCCACAAACCAGTGGAATTTTGAAGATTATCTCCAGATGCTTGCACTATTTGCCTCGATTTCTCTAGTCATCAGCCACTGTTAGATGAGAAACTGGGCTAGGTAACTACTCTTCACCACATAAATGTATCTCTATTTCCTGTTCAACATAGCAACATGCTCTGTTGCTTTGTACTACATCATTATCTCTCGGGTTTTTCCAAGAGCAAAGCACGTTGAGTGAAATTTCAGCGTCGCATTCTCTACTCTCTTTTCAAAAAGACGGTTTCCAGTTTGAACACTGAAGCTTGTCTTTATTCTCGGCGATGGAAGCTGCTCATGTGTTGGCTGTATTGATGACATTCTTCAGTTTTCTCCTTTGCAGAGCCAAGTTCAGGGTTTTGAAGAGAGTGTCGCTACTGTTTAGAACGTTGTAGCGATTCACTTCCACTAACCTGCTGAAATCATATGGCTCAAAGGTGAAATTTAGCGTACGGTAAGGAGAATCTTTTGTCTCAATCACAAAGTCACCAAAGGATTTCTCATCTTCTGACTCACGTTTAACTCCTGCAGCAAGAAAAAACATGTCAGCCATAATAGGCTTGTGTTTTTATGTGAGGAGGATATCACAGTTGATTGCTCAGTTGAACCACAATTCTTTCCCTACAGAAAGAAACACTTTCTTCCTGGGGGATTTCAGCTCCTTTATGATCCAAAGTCCTTGGAAGCTGAAGGCAAATCTCCTTACCTGGACTTTTGTATTTCTGGAAGGTGTCATTCACCAATGGGAAGTGGAGCACAATGGGAGCCTTTGGATTATCATCATCCACAAACACATAGCATTCTTTGGGCTTCTTTTCATCTTCCTCACTCACTTCGATTTTTGGAAAAGGTATTTCCCGCTCCTCACAATATTGCTGAGTCAGCTCTAAAACCTGTTGTCAAAGAACAAGTGTCATTCTGATAGAATACCAGCCAAACAAATGTGTCTGTAACTAGAATCCTCAAAGACAGAGGCTCTTTCACAAAATCAGTGACAGAAATCCACCTTAAGACTACACAATTCAATTTCTATGGCTGGTGATACAGAAAAAGTACAAAACTAAAAAGTGTTACCAAACATCAACAGTTTGCTGAAACTGTTTTTATGTTTTACTACTCTAAGTATACATAACTTCTCTGCACTTAGAAATTAAACACTTGTACATACAGGAAGACTCACTTGCATGAAGAAAATCACCAACTGCAACAAAGATCTTACGAAGTAAACAAATATTCTAGGTAACATTATAAGCTTCTGAATGGAATCATACAGTTGTCATTTCCAATCTGCTCGTGATATTGAGAGTAAGAAGCATGGTACAACAACATTTTAAAGTGGTGAGGATTCATTTTAACACAGTCTTTCATCAGTGTTTGCATTCAGCATTAACTGATCTGCTGTCATCCTGAACATGATTCTCCACTCTTACCTTCCTGTAACAGTGCTGTGTCTCTTACCTCAAATGGAGCTTCCCAGGAAAAATTGAATGACAAAATAACATCCACGTCCCTCTCTGGTTGAAGTACCAGTGGAAAGGGAGAGTTGATAGAAAAGCCACCATCCACTAGATATAAGTTCTCCTCCATGGGGCTCAGCTGGTTGGGAAATGCATCCAGATGAGTGCCTGGAAGACACTCCAAGTAACAAAAGTAACTATAATGCTTTGTTACACACCGCAAACTACAAGCAACATAGATCATGCTAGGGCTGTAAGAAAAAAAGAAAAACACATTATGACCAATCTCAGTACATGTCATAAAAATCTGATAATGAGCTTGCCTCCTATATCAGAATATACACAGTGGATCAAATCTCTGCTTTGACATAGGAAGGGGTAAATTCCCTGACTTCAGTGGGACAAAGTCAATCTTTCTTTCATTCTGTAACATTGCCTGTTACAGAATACTTAACATACTATTTTACATTCCAGACATATACAGGTTCGTTTACCTCTCCAAACCACAAATTCCTTGATTTTAACATAATCTTTATGGAGATATAATCCATGCATGAAGTTGAAGGTCTCCCCACACGTGACCCGGGACTTGAAGAAATCCTGGAAGATTTGCAGCAGGGGGCCCCCAGGTACAATCAAGCGAGTCTTCAGCCGTGTTGGATCTCGGAAATGAAATCTTCTGCAGTCATCTACAGAAGTCACAATGGGTACAGAATACGTAGCAAATGCTCACACAGCTCCATCATTTTAATCAGACCTCTTTTCTACAAAGTATAATCAGTTGTCTTAAGGCTGACTTTGTCCTTTTTTTAAAAAGTATTGTAATTAAATTTAAATCAGCTGTATTTTCTATAGTTGGATATTTACTCACCACATTTAAAGGGAATTATACAAATCATCGTCCATTTTAATTTCAAATCTACACAAAAACTCTTGTTAGCAAGTGACAACCACTTCTGTTTCATAAGACAACAGAAGTCATCACTTCAGTCACATTTATAGTTACAGAAGCAAAACAACCGCAAAGAGGAAAAAATCTCTCCTGCCACTGTTCAGTATGGAGTTATAAAAACACACCTGAACATCTCTCAGCTTTTAATAAGTTTTCTTTTCACTACTAGGAAGTTATTGTACAAATGGAGAACACAAATGTACAACCAGCTTACTCAGTGTTAGTAAATACATACATATTTAAATAAATCAAGCTAACAAGTGAATTGAAAACTTATTTTCCACCTTTTCACCTCTGTTATAGCTGTATAGCTTTTGTCTTTTTCTTCTCATGATTAAGACCCCCTGAATTGCAAAACATGCTCAGTACATCTCCCAGAACTAGACAAAGTTTATAGTCAAGGTCATGTTAAACAAAAATAAAAAAAAATACAAAGTAAACAAAAAAACCTACTATTAATCTCCGTATGCGATAGTATGGATTAATACACAGAACAAAAGGAAATGCAAGTCTTCAAAACAACATGTAGTATATTTTTGGGTCACATTACTTTTTAAAGTCACTCCAAAACCAGGAATCTTCAGGAAAATCCAACAATTTTAAAGAGTGTTCTTACCTATGACTTTGATAACATCTTTGAACGGATCTAGAAAGCTCAGTCCTATACCAACCACTTTCAAGCAGATATCATCTAAGCTTGCAGCAAAGGCACTGCCCCACATTCCTGCAGGAGAAATGAATAATACTTCAATAATTAAACGGTTCTTTCTGCTCCAGAAAGGCTTGCAAAAGGCTTGTAACTCAACTGCTATCTGTCATGGAGAGGGCTGCCATTTGACTCCCACTATTCTGTAAATACAGAAACTTCCATGAAAGAGAAGCTCTTATAAGAGAAAAGTTGCAAAGAGAATGAAAAGTTCTAAAGAAGTTTTTGACAGTTAGGACCAACAACAGATTGGGTAGAGAAACGTGGGGAGCTGTAAGAGACTTAGTGCCTAGTTTCCTTTGCAAAACTACTGAGAGAGATCACCAAGGTATCCAGAGCAGACTCTGAGCAAGACTGAATTGGCAAAGAAGTTCTGTATATCAGTAACATGAGAATGTCTGATTGAAGCAGCAGCTTTAAGAAAGCTTTAAAAGCTCTGCAGGGCCTAAAGATCTTTTGAATCAAAAGAAGAATTCCAGCTTCAAGCTACTAGTATTGTGTTCCAAAGTTACAGAAAGAAAATACTTATGGCACATTAGATTTACTTCTTTTATTTCTTTTTTTCAGTTTGTTTTTTTTCCCCCCAACTCAGACAAAAACACAATATAAAAAATTCACAATCTTCACATTCCTGACTGATTCCAATAAAATAATATCTTTATGTATAGATTGTCACTGCCTGCCTGTAGACATCTTCAAGGAGGATGCTTCACACAGGGTATAGTCCTTCAATGCAAAGCCTGTAAGGACATCTGTGATCACAACAAAGGGAAGTTGGAGAGCCCAGCCTAACACTGAGACCTATAGAGTCAAACTCACTAACAGCAGCATTTCTGATTCTGATTTTGCCTCATCTCCTGCACTGAACTTATAAGGGGCATATCATGATTGAATTGATTTGTTACTCAGGCACACCCAGGTACTAGTTTTAGGAAGATAGCACCACAACAATTACAGGCAAGTATGCAGTAAGTGTCAAGAAACCTTGAGTATTTTTCCAAGGGCAACATTGGAAAAGAACGTTATGACAAATGAAGATACTTGGAAGCACAGGATAATTCACTTCAACTTTGAGGAAAGCAGTAGCCCTCCCTGACCAACCACACCATGCCCTGCCCTTGATTTTCATCTACAATAGTTTATTCCCACAAGAATTTCATTTTATCTGTGGGAAAGGATCTCCATTTACCACGTACATCCTGTTTAGCAACGTCTGCTCTCAGTTTATCACCAAACATTAAAAAAACACTGTGAATACTTCATCCCGTTCCAGTTCTGGAAAGTATTCTACCCAAGCAAACTTAAGATGCATTTTTAATAACACAGAATATAAAGTTGACAGAAAGCAAACAATTTTCTGTCAAACAGGTATCACCCATTAAAAAAATTCATAAGTAAGGAATAGAAATGAAGTTAATGGAATAAAGTAGCATATTACAGCAGAGAGCATTAGCTCCTACAAGTATGACTATAAAAGCAATGGGATACCATTGGCTTTTTAAAAAATCTGTTTACACATGTAGGAATATGTGACTATAATACTATAAAACAATGCCTAAACCTGTGAAAAAGAACTTGACATTTTTTTCCCCTGTTCAGATTCTGGGATCTGAAGAGATCAAAATTTAAAAGTTGATGAGTCCTAAAAGTTGTTTTATTCACTGCTGTAAGTTCATACCTTGTAGAAAACAAATTCTAGGCTCTGGATGTTTCTGGATGAGCCTTCCCATGAAGAACTCACTGTCAAAGTCTTCCGTTCGGACAAAAGCCCCGTATTTGCGAAACCCAACTTCATAGGGAGTAAACTCACACCATTCTAAGAAAGAGCCAACAGATCAATGAGGACTTGCTCACCTCAGAGTAAGCTAACATGTAAATACTTTACTACTGAAATTAATGTTCACACCAGGAGCGGGAGGGGGCAGAAGGGAATCTACCTCCATGGTTTTTTTTATTATCACTGTGGATTTCCCTGTCACTCTTTCCAGGGAGCCTCTATTTTTGATAAATATCATTAATATCAACTCTTGTCCAGGCTTTCACTGACTAAATACAACCTCCTTTCTTCCTGGCTTGCAGGAAAAAAAAACAAACAAAATACTGTGCTCTATCATCACTTTATTACTAGAGAAATATCCTGCTTATTTCAACTCTACTCTAAATCATTTTTATCATATCTAAGGGAAGTTAGTTCACTTTTCTCAGCTCTGCTGTTGCTAGTGAGTTCTGCTCACTACTAATTTCACATTTCTATTGACCCCATGTTAGGCTTCCTGAGTTGTCTGCACATTGAAATGACCCTTGCACTTGAAACCTTCCCATAAATATTTACAAGTGAAATTCACTGTCCTTCAAGTTCTGCTTTAAAATTTTTCTTCACGTATATACATTTCTCTCCAGAACAAAAGAATAACAATGGAAAAATAAGAGATCAATAGTGGTATGCAGGTGTACACAAGCACTGGTGTCCCTGTCTCTTTATATCTACACGCACATGCTGCCTCATACTGAAAAGTGACTAGGACTGGAGCTGCACAGGTGAATTGAACTTATGGATTTCAGTAAGCCAAAATAAAGCTGCCACGTTCGTACCTGCAAAGTCACCACTGCTAATATTGGGTCTCACATTGACAGCTGCATAGATAGGATAAGGGTTCTGGGCCCATTTCACTGCTTCTTGCTGATCAGACAGCTTTGATGGATCTTCCTGATTACAAGCAAGGAAGAAGAAACACACTAAGATAAATTCTGTCCTCACGCTTAAATAATTTGAAGCTGTTTCTTAGCATCAAACAATATGCTAATTCAAAGTCCCCTTTCCTCCTTCCATCTGTGCACATGGTTAGGTTTTGACAGAATATTTAGAATGTCTGGTGTTATTAACAAGGTAATTACTCCTCTGATTTCAGTTAGTATAATAAATATTGCATAGTGATACAGTTTTGCAAAACCAACATCAACATTCTTTCAGGCTTAACGTGTTGAATACAAAGGCTATTAATTTAACAAGTTATTCCAAACATACACTCAATTTTTATATAGCTCTAATATTTAAAGCTACAAAATTCTTTACCAAGAAAAGTGCTAGAAAAACTGAGGCAGAACAGAAGCAAGAACTCCTTATGTTTATTCTACAGTACTGCCTATTGCAGATCAGCCTACAAAGCTGGAGAGTATCTAGTTTTTTTGACACAATATACAGGTCTGCAAAGGTCCCAGCTAGAAGACAAGCAGTAGTGCTCATCCAAACAAACTCTTTTACCTTCTGTTGTAAGAAATACTCCACAATAAGGCCCCACAAGTCTGTGAAGGAAACTTTCCGTCCACTACTCTCCATTGCACTCAACTCCTGGAAATAGTATTTCAGTCGTTCTGGGGAAAATGCCCCTCCTTTGCTGCTGGACACAGCCCTCTGAGCTCTGCTAATTGCACCTTGAAGGTCCTTCTGTGACCAGTTAGGGTCTTGATATAACGTTGATAAACACCTGAAAATACTTACATTAAATATCATTGGTAAAAATGGCCTTTATGTAAACAAAGAATTTTAGCTAGATATTATATTATTCCTGTAAGTAAAACTTACTCCTTTGCTTGAGAAGCTAAGCTTCTCAAGCCAAGAGACAGAAATAATGAATCTTCATGCTTTAAAACATGCTGAAAACCCTGACAACTAGCAGACAGCAAGACTGCTATTGCATACAGCAATTGAGGCCATAACCTTTATCAGAACACAGGTCTCATTAAAATGAGAAACCGGTTTGTGTGCTTGATTAGCAGATAACTAAATCTGTTTCACAGTCTGGCTATGAATCAAAAGACACAGACCAGATCATGAGGTTATTGCAAGAATACCACATAAATCAGAGTTAATGCACGAAGCTCTAGAAGGGAATATTTTATTGCCAGGTTGCACAAAGTGCTGGAAGGGCAGATTATATTGTCAGGTTGCACAACTCCTCAGTGAAATCATTTCATGAAAACAATGTGTACTGATACAAAGGATTATTTCATTACGTACTCTAAGAACTGAATTACTGAGACATTCTAATCATGTCTGACACCTCAGCACACTGCTCCAGACTACTACATCCAGCACTATTCCGGCACTCAGCTGCATGTACCATTTTGGAAAGTAGCGACACAGTGGCCTGCACAGATGTGTTTCCAGACTCGAAGCACCTTTGTTATCTTCCTGGCAACAGCAAGCAAATAGGAAAATCTTTTGAAATCAAGCTTCTGAGAGAATACACAGCAGCTTTATCAAGGTAATAAGTTCAAACATTCAATTGTCATGCTTGCAAAAGCAGTAGATTTATAAATATAGCCAATAGCTGTACGAGTCAAAAGCGGTAATAGATTTTAGAATGTCTTTAGAATTGATATTAGAACTCTCAGGTGAGATCTGATGAAATACTTAACTTCATTGTCTACAGATGGCAAAGACACAGTTCTGGACTACTTTATTGCATAAATACTAACATATTTAACTAACTTTCTGGAATCAGCACTGCACACAACTTACCAAGTAGAGCCAGAAATCCCGCTCAGATACATTGCAGCATCCAGAAGGCCCAGCTGCTGAAGGCCAGCTAGGCTGCCGTAGAATGATGTCAGTGCTCTCATCCCACCTCCAGACCCCAGTACTGCTACAACTGGAACCTGCAGCCAGCAAACACAGGAGTCAATCACAGGCTTTTGAATTGCCAGCAAATCACCAGTTAAACAAAACTAATCCTGTGTAAGAAACATAATATCTACTTACATTAGTTTCAGGTTTGATTTCAATCAGCACTTTCTCTATTTTGTAATTAAAATATATTGTTTACTATAAAAAACAGCAGCAATTCCAGCCAACAGTGATTTACTGAAGTTGTTACGTATATTACTGCACATTCACTTGCATGCCACAGAATACACACACTAGAATAAAAAAAGGCACTGTTTCTCATAGGAGCACCTAAAGTTCACAGGACAATGCATCAGGTTATCTAGAAATAGCACCGTTGCTAAATAAGCAATTTGGAAGCAGCTCTGCTGTGCCAAGATTCAATTAAGCCACTCTGAAATTGACTTTCCCATGAGAATCCAGAGCTCAAAGCCCAGAACACAAGAGCTCGGCTAAAGGAAGTACATACATTCAGAAATTTCAAGTTTTTGTTTGTCAAAAGCACACACGCCCTTCAGAATTTCAGAAATACAAGATTTGAGACTTCAGAACTGAAATGTTGCAGGGATCTCTCATGCTAAGCATAAGCCACACTGTTGTTTACAGGCAAAGAATCCTACATACCTTACTAACTACCAGCCAAACACAAAGGATTTTTATCAGTTTCTCACTGTGCTCAATACCTCATCTCTCTGGGGGGACTGCTTTAAGTTAAGAGTCTTCTTCAGTGCTTCAGAAACTCTTTTCTTCCTTTTGTCCACAAATTCTCTCTCCTCTTTACAGAGGTCAAAACCCAGTCGTACATCTAGATCCCAAGTGCTGAAATAGAAATTTAAAAAAAAAATGTTTTCAAAGGTTTGTAATTTCTAAGGAAAAGTGATTTCTGAAAGTATATTCTAAGTGGTGATCTGAATCACTGGATTAAACTATTAGATGACTATCACTCGAAAAGTTGTCTGTAATATGTAAGACTAGCTATTTTTAAATTTGGAATTAAAAATGAAATACCTCTCTGCTGTATTTCTTCCTTAATGTCCAATTAGAATATTTGTGTCAAGCAGTCATTCAGCCTAAGCTTTAGGAATTTCACAGAAAGGAAGAAAAAAATTTGCAGTGGTTAAAGGAAGATTATATAAGGAGCAACTGAGATCACAGCATTAACATGAAGGAAGACATAAAGAGAGTGTAATTTTAAAGCAAATGTCTGGACAATCTGCACCCATCCAAGCTCTTCACACTCTGAGCTGTCCTCTCCTATTTGTCAGTACAGCACCATGTACATTCTGGGAATTATCTGCAGCTATCAAAGTTATATAATATTTAAAACATCACCTAACCATGTTTCATGAGTTTAAGTTAGAAAGCAGAAAAGTTCGCCCCAATTTCAGCAGGATTGAAACCAGTGTCTGAGAAAGTACCTTCAAAAAGAATAATCACAGATGCCAAAAGAAAAACAACTAAAATTTTTTCTTTAATCTGTCTCAAGAGATGCACTGAGACAGTGGCACTTCCCAGAGCAGCAGGCATCATCCTTCTCCATAAGAATAAGGAAGCTCTTTCCTCATTTTAGATATCACTGAAGTTCCCACTCACCTCTCTACAGCTTTCAAACTTATATCCAAATTTTCTCCCTGTAAAAACAGAACAAAATCTGCAAATGATAACAACTTCATAGTGGTATTACTAACTATAAGTTATTACATCAGCATTGCCATCAGATACTAGCAGGAACAACACTCTCACCCACAAAACTACATCTGTGGAACATTTTTATCTTCAGTCTATTCCAGACATTTTCAGTAATCTCTACAGCAAACAAATATTTTCACTCTGCTCTTTGAGCACATTAATTTCTTCTACGAGCCTCTTGCTTTTCTCCTCCTCTGATATTTTAGTCATTTCCACTGACTTTGTTTCTGCAAGACCAATCATGAACATATATTTTTAAAAGAGCTTCACTGAGCTTGCTATATCATTCTTGAGCTACAAGAAAACAGCACTAAGAATCACATCCAGTTAACTTTCAAGATGTCTATAGGAGAAGGGCAACATCTGAAATATGTTTAAAAAAAAAATAGAGAGAAATCGTTCACATTACCTCCTCTCCCAGAGAAACAACTTTATCAACTTTTTTTCCAATAGGAAGGGAATTAAGTGGCACAGTCCCCTGTCCTAGAACCGTAGAATGCTTTTCAACATCAGGATTCATTCCATCCTAATAAAAAACAAAATGCCTTTTGAGCTCTCCAGAAAAATCGTTAACAGTATGACTGCTTTTGACATCTGCACATACCCTAAAAATACATCTAAAACTGACATCCCTTGACATCTGAAGGTCCCTGGCCTTCTTATGATGAAATTGAGGATATTGAATCTATGTTTAAAGCTTTTTCATGGACTGGAGATGCTGGTTTCAGGGTGAATTTACTTAAAAGCATGTATAAACTTTGTAGCAGTCAGCACAGATGCTTACCTGTAGGAAAGATATGGTTTGTTCCAGTTCCACTTGTAGTTCTGTATGCATTTCTTTGTCCACATGAAAGACAAAGGAGGTTCCACATTCCTCCTCATTGTCCAGACTCCAAGGAATACACAACTGCTTCTGATACGCCCCTGGAACAGACAGCTTGACCTCACAGTTACCTGCGTGTTAAAATAAGAAGTTTAGACTGCAGAATCCATTTATTTAAATGTTCCAAATTAGACACGACTATTAAACGTAGTTGAGACTAGGAAAACACAAGCAAAGACTCAAGTTTCCCTCACAAGACACCTAATGGAAGCAACACAATATCACTCAGCTTTTATTTTCAATACTAAATTAACTTAAGAAGTCAATGTTGTGATCAGTAAGTAAGAATGTGCTATACAGACAGTTTCGAATGTTTTCTCTCTCTCCCATGGAAGAAACATCCTTAAACCCTGCAGGCAATCATACCTTGCTGTTTCTCTTTCATTTTTTGTTCTTTGTTGAGGGTGCCTTGGAGCAACAAACAAGGATGAACCTACAAAAAGAAGAAACCAGCTCTGGTTACAAGGTCTGAGTTCACTTTCTAGTTGAAGCTTAATCCACCTACTATAGTAGGAATCTGGTTTACATATGCAATATATCAAAAAAGACATTAGGGATTACACTCATTTTCCAAATAAAAAGCAGGTATAGTTTCAACAGAAACAGATTATTTGTTCATTTCAGAAACAAAAGCATTCTTCCTCTTCCAGTTTTTTTGTTTTTGTTTTCTTATTATTATGTTGTACTTTTGTTTTTGTTTTCTGCAACCTGTGCTTCATATGTACAAGTTCACCTTTTCTTTCTCCTCCTCTCTTTTTTTTTTTTAATGCACATGTGAGGACATACTCAGAATCTGTCCAGGTCCTACAAATTACTTCATAAAATCAGCCATGTCTTTCTGTACTAAATGATCCACATCCTCAAGAAACTTAGTTTCTCACACCAATCAGTCATCAGCTTCCCTTCTAGAACAGCCAGTGAGATATTTAGTTGGGCATAGCTGCCCACAAAGATAGGAAATTCCTCCAGCTTGAACAGAGGACTGATTTACTGAGGTAAGTATGAATATAAGGGGTTCTCTACTGTGAACTGTTCTGCAGAATTGTACTACCACAAACCAGCTTTTTTTTTTTTTACTGAAAAATGCTAAAATATCATCATTTGAGTCTCTTTCCTTTGGGGAAAAGAGAGGTATTTTTAATGCATAATATACCATATTTTTTTTAGCTTATTTTCCCCAAGAGAACAGAAAAATATCACAAGGCTTATCACCTACTTAAAAATGGCACTGAAAAAAAATCCTAGAAATGTTAAAGAAGACTATACCCAACCAGCATCTAGGCTAGAAAACTTAGGACCATCCACGAGATTCACCAGCCTTCCAAAAACACCTTTATGTCTTTTAAATAGTCTCACTATTTCCTCACTGGGGAGGAAAACAAACAAACAAACAAAAAAAACCCTATGAGTTGGTTTAAAGTTTCAAAAACTGAAACATGAAACTCAAAACCAGAGGGAAGTGCTGGAGAGAATACGAGTTATTTGAATGCAGGGTTTCAATTCTAAACAATTCTTTTACTACTAAATACTTACCATCAGGTATAAATCTCACTACATATATAACTGACTTCTGTGTACTCACCACAAGTACTCCATTGGTCAATACCTCTGTAGGAGTATCTGAGCTGTGAAAGGAAGAGATTTAATGCAAATGAGTTTTGGTTTTAGTTTGCATTATCCTAAGTTTCAAACTACCTGTCTAGATAAAAAGTAGGAAAAGAAGGTTCTTGGATGCAAGAGATCTAAGCAAACTAGATTGACACTATTTTCTGTGACAGAGCAAAAGGAGAAAACACTGAAGGAGAAATTCCTCTGCCACTATATGCATGTTATTATTTGAAAATCTAAAGATAATCTGAGATTAGATAGACTGCCACACATTTAACCTTGCAATATAAACACCTGTATACTTTAAGAATGCAAATTTTTCAATCCTAACTGATTTAGCTCATGGAAAAAAAAAAAAAAACATTCAAGTACCTTCCTTTGCAGTGCTGCTATTCCCATAAAGTCAATTTTTGTTTTATTTCCTCTTTGTTTTCCACAAATTTTGGTGGCTGAACTTTTAGGACATTTACTGTCAGCCACTAGTGATCAGCTTAAGCACCACAGAGAAGTACTGTGCGTTAGCTTTTATATGGACAAGTCAATGCTGCACACAAAAAGCAACAGAAGTCACCTCTCAAGAGTACAGGTTCACTTAGCTCTTCAGGTAAGACTCACCATTTCTCCAGGTAGAATTCTACGTCCAATTCTTCATTATCCTTTAAAAATAGAAGTGTGACCCTTAAACTTGAATACAACTAAGACAAGCTTTCAATTTTTTTTCCTTTTACAGATAATGCCTTTTTTGTTCTTGCTGCTCTTTTAAACATACCTCTCCTCCCAGGCTTTTCTTATATTAAACATAGATACGTGTGATCATGAGATAAATGAATGTTGGCTCTCAGATCCATTACTCCACCGATCAAAAACCACTTATCCAGCTCAAGTACTACTGCAGCTCTGCCTCTAAAAATAGCATCCTCAGGAGGCTTTGACTCAGCAATATGCACTAAAAGGTTGATCAAGATCAGCTTTCAAAATAACTAAGTAGAAACCAACTTGAGCAATTCTCTCTCACTGAAGTTGCTGCTTCCAGTTTCACAATTACTGATCAAGCTTACCTTTTAATCATTCAGCAAATAGTGAGAACAAGGGTTTTAGTAAGATGCCAGTGATCGCAAATCATTCAGAGGGCCTGTAACAACCTCTCAATGATGAGGGGGTTGGAACTAGATAATCTGTAAGGTCCATTCCAACTGAAGCCATTGTATGATTCTAACTAACTCACCACCCTGCTAACTATGTATCAGTCTACTTCTGATTGTACCAACAGCACTGAAGCCAGATTTTTTCAGGAAACCTGTGATCTAGGCCTATTATAGAAGTGTTTGAAGCAGTGTCAAAAGAGTTCAGGTTGGTGACACGACTTTAGTTACGTGAAACAAACTATCTTATTGCAAGGCCATAAACAAGCCCATAGGGACTGAGAGCAGCTGATAGGCACCAACCTCATCCTTACGAAGTAGAAATTAAATGTAATTGTACATAATCCTGTATATAAGCTTTTCAGTTACCAAACACAGAAGTAACCTTTGAAGCAATAAACTTCACTGCAAACTGACGATGATCAAACAAATAAGGTAGCCTGCAGTTCACAAAAGGATTGCTGAAAATTCAGTTCATTTTAAGCCTAGCTTGTGTCCCTTTTGCATGTTAAGAAACAGCCAAAATCTACAAAGGTATTTCAGTTTTGTTTAGCTGGGCACCCCAAAGACTGAGGAACACCCAATTTTTTATTTTTATTTTAAAATAAAAAAAAATCAGATGACAGTAAGACCAATTAATACCATCATCTACCAATATATTTTCCCCTTCTGGCTTCTATGACAGGCAGATAAACAAGCTTGTACTGCCTCACCTCAGTAATGCTATTCTCAGCAGCTATTCTGATCTGATTGGGGAAGAGCTGAGGACCAACCTTTGGGTTCAACTTGAAAGTGCGCAGCAGGGGCTGACCCGGCTTCATGCCTCCTACATCAAAGACAATGGAAGTGAGTTCATCACTGATTAGGACATCCTTGTCGTAGAGGGTCAATTCCAGAATGTTCTAAAACCAAACAGAAATGAACAGCCTCAAGTGAAGACAGAGAGCCACTTCCATGAACTTCAGTAGCTGTAAACAATAGACATGTTATGCATTAATCAGTATCCCATCCCTTTGCCTTCTTTGAACTTACAGAATAACTAAGCACTAAGCTTCTATTTGGCAGTCATGCTAAAACCAATACTTTAAAAAACTGTTTCCTTTCCTCTGTCATTAGAGTCTACTTTGAAATAAGTGCTGACAGTCTGGAAGCTTTGTTCGACTCAGACAGCAGAAGTACTGCCTATACTAAGATTTTTGCTTTTCCTGATCATAGGAATTCATTCCTAGACTTGACTCAATGAAATAAGTGACAGAGTGATTTGACTTGGAGTCCTAAACAATAGTCAGTGTGAGTAGAGCTACAAGAAGGCAACAGCTACAACGTGAAAGTAGAAAAAACCCTTGAAGAGTTGCATTATCAGGAAGTTTCCATCAGCTTTCTCAGACACTGTCCTAACTTCCCTTTCTTGAGTTTTATCACAAAGTCATTTAAGGCAAATTCTAGCTGCTATTTGCAAAAGATGGTGGTTACCACTAGGTGGATATTACAGCTTTTGGTATAACTGAAGAAGACCATCACTTTATACCTCCCTGTGCTTTTGAGAGTAATGAAGATCCCTCTGTTTTGAATGAAGTATTAAAGCAAGCCAACACACAACTACAAATGGTTCAACCAGCTCCACCAAGTACGTTCCTTACCTTGACAGCACTGTGGATTCGATACTGGAATGTTTCGTTCCACTCTGGGTTATCAGAGTTGTCAACAACCTGAGTTCGGGAGACATGGGGAGATGCAGTGGGTAGTTTCAGTTCCACGTAGCAGTCTGCTTTTGACACTAGAGCAGAGAGTTCAGAGATGCAACAAAATCATATTACTCAAACATGCCCTTTCCCATGAGCTCTTCACTTTCTAGATTGCACTGCGTCAGAAAAAAAAAGTGCAAAATCAAGATGGGACTTGTTGTGCAAATGCCTTGAAGCTTACAGCTTTAAACAGCAGTAAATTGAATGTTAGTATTTCTCTTCCTGGTTCATCCGAACTATAAAGCTTTTAATTTATTTTCAGAAAAGGAAAAGGAGTGTTGATATGCGGGCCAAAGCAAAATCATTTCCTTGCTGTTGCAATCCTGTTACTTTTATACAACCTATTAAAAACTTCCTTCTGTTAATTTGCCCTGAATTTACCCTATGAAATATAACTTTACATATAATATAATATATTGTATTATTACATCGTGATATTATATAATTTTTCAAGCTTTGCTTTGCACCAAGAATGCAGTAGCACTACCACATCAAGGAACAATGCAGCTATAATAGAAAAGGAGTTAATATTACTCCTTATCAGCTATTTCATCTTCTGAACTTTCCACAACTACTACTAGACAATGTTATTTGTCTAGTCTCAGTCACATAACTGCATTCTTTCAAAGAATCACTGAAAGATTGAGGTTGAGAGGGATCTTTGAAGTCATCTTTTCCATCCTCTGCTCAAGCAGGGTCTCTTAGATAAGAAGATTGCCTAAGACCATTTCAGTGTTGAATACTGTAAAGAACGGAGATTTAAAAGGCTCTCTGTACAACCTGTGTCAGTGCTGAGTCACTCTCAGTGACAAAAAAAAAAAAAAGGTTTTTCCTTATGTTCAGATGGAACATATGTTTGCTTGTGACCACTGCCTCTTTGCCCTGTCTCTGGGAACCACTGATAAGAATCCTGCTCCATCTTCCTAACACTCTCCTTTCAGACACTTGTACACAATGATAAGATCACCCTGAGCCTTCTCTGCCAGCTGTCTCATACTCTCATGAGAGAGATGCTCCAATCCATTAGTTTTAGTGGCCCTTCATTAGACGTCAGTATTTACATCTCTCTCATAGCAGATGGTGCAGCATTGGACCCAATGCTCCAGTGTGGCTTCACCAGTACTGAGTACAGTGGAAGGATCATGCTCTTGACCTGCTGGCACCTGCTAACACAGCTAAGGATACCATTAGCCCTCCTAGTGGCAAGGGCATGATGCTGACACCTGTTCAACTTGGCTCCCACCAGGGACTCCCAGATCTTTTACTGCCAACTGCTTTCCAGCCAGTTGATTCCCAAAACATATAGGCAAATGACAGAACGATGCAAACAAAATAAACAGAGAAATGAAAGAATACAATACTAACAAATTCTAGCTTCCAATTTTTATTTTTTTTTAAAGTGCAAATTGCTTCTTCCAGGTGCAGGAAGACAGTTCAGCAGTGGAAAGGGTAACACTTCCCATAACCTGAGTGCTGAACTCAGTAAAAGAACGCTGAGTAGACCACAACAGTTCATGTAAAAAAAAAAAAAGCAGGGAAGCAAAACGTTACCAGGACTCACCTGATTATGTTCCACAAAGCAATGGTGTTAATCTGTATCTTGGCCTCAGATTAAGCCTTTAAAATATAGCTAAGGCTTTACAATAGAAACCTTTGTGTAGATGCCAAGGCAATACAGTGTGTAGGTAAAGAAAACCCGTAACAACAATACCTGTGTTACAGGTGACTACTGAACAAAGAATCTGTTTTCTTAATACCTTTACCAGATACTCACACAGATCTGTACCCTTGATGTTTCTTGCTCTGAGGACTTTTACTGTTAGGTTGTAGTAAGGGTGCTTCTCCCACTGAAAAGACAGGAAGAACTCAGCTCAGTATGTACCTCAATTACAATACCTATTCTGTAATCACACTAATGACAAATTTAGAGAAAAGGACCAGAAGAGTCAAACAAAAATAAGCAATCAATGACTCAGTTTGGAAATATATAAAGTATTTTTACTGTCCTGGAGGAAAGCTACAGAAGGCTAGAAGGAAACTTTTCCTTTCAGCACAGCAATGAGCAGTATCTTGAGGTAACTCCCCACACATTTCAGAAAATAAGTCCCTGATTTAGTGTTTCCTCTAATTATAGGTCAATTTTTATTTACTTCATTAGCTCATTCCTACTGCAGGATAAAACAAAACTGGAGCTCCTCAAGTAATTTTAATAATGACTTGACTACTTTGTTAAGAGGGCTTGCCAAGGATACACGCATGCTTGAGTAATAGCAGACATGGCAAGAATCTTAATAGCGTTGCCTGAGTATGTAGAAAGCATATGTTAACAATAAGGGAGAAAAAGACACTTCTTTGTAGAAACAAACTTCATGACAGCTTGAGCAAGGAAGAACAAAGCTCAAATTCCTATTCATTCGGAATTGTTGCTGGTATCAACACTTTTAAAAGCACGTGTTACTTTACCAGCATTGATCAAAATGTAATCCTTGTTCAAGAAAGCATCCATACGGCTATTTTTGGCAGGTAAAATTAGTTTCTAAATGACTAGATGTGAGGAAGAATATAAACCTGACTAAATCCTAGAAGATCATGAAGAAGCAGGTGAATGGCAGAGGAAGATGAGAGAAAATGGCTTGAAAGGATATGGTGCAGAGATTGGACAAAAGCAATAGCATAAGGTTCATAAACAGAACGACATGAACTATGCCATTCAATTACGATATGAACCCAACCGTGACAATAGTCAGCTAAAGAAATCTTTTCTATTCTTAAAACATTCTCCACAAGTGGTCACTAGGTCTGCACTTACCATTTCTACAGGATTAACTTGAGACCACAGAGTTTAATTTCAGTAAAACTAAGCATTCATTGACAATTATATTCACTAGCATCTTTGCTTACAACAAAATGCTACAGAGTGCAAAATGTTATATAAAAACATTAGCCTTTGGTATCACTTGTTAGGATATAAAAATAAATAATGAACCTTCAACTGTTAAACTGCCCTTGAATGTTCCCCAACTAATAAATTGTTCTGTACTTATTAGGCAGGTGCATACTTGTGCACTTTACCTTATTTCATACCACCTTAAGATATTTTAGCTTTTGCAAAACAGGGTTTGAGCAACACAGAAAATCCAAGACATGCTTACTACACTGAACTACTTTGTACTGAATGACATCCACTAAGAGCACCAAGTGTAAAAGTTACACGCATAGCCTAAGACTCTTCACAGTCAAGTGCCAAATAAAACTTAATAACATAATTTGATCTTATTTGCCTATTACCATTACCATCAGAGAGCTTTCATTTGCAACATCAATATGTTCAAGATGTTGCCTTCCCCCATTTCCTTCTGGCAGTAAGATGTGACTTCATTTCTGATTTTATCCCAAGTTCTGCTCCTCAGATGCTTTTTCTTCATTTTTAAGCCTTTCCTAATCACATTTATTTATTCCCAACCACAAAGCAGTTTCTCAGGCAAAGTCTGCTCTCCTTTCTGACTCCTCAAGCTACAGAAAGGATGACAACAAGGAATACAAGATTCCATAGGTTACTCTTACTGATTCCTTACAGGGAGCCACAAACTTTTCAAGGTTATTGAGAGGCGAAGCTACACGATCAAAAATCCTCACTGCTGCCAAAGCAATCTTCACTAACATAGTTTATCACCTTGAATTCAAATATTACCAGAGGAAGCACAGAACTCCACAAAGATAGAACGTGGCTTGTTTTGCTGCACACCATCTGTCAACATAGTCACAAGTTCAGAAGTCCCTTCCAAAGGTCTCTAACAACCATTTATTTGTAGCCAGCAATTACATCACTGAGGATACAATTCCCTCACCCGGATCATAACTTAAAGGCATATAACTCAACAGATATCTTCCTGCTCTCCCACAGCACTGCTATCAGTATGGCAGGACCTCCTATTTCACCTTTTATAATTATTTTTTACCCAAGGCAATGCTGTAACATATCGTAAGATGAGCTTACAGAGCAATGAAGCACGAGTATTAGATAAGGTCAATCCAAACAAATCTAGGAAAAGATAGGCAAGAAATGCATGTAGAAATTCAGTGACAACTACAATTTTGTCAACATCAGTGTAGATGACAATGTTCCTATGTACGTGACACATGCAAGCAGCCAATTTCTAATTTACAATTTAATGATTTTTCAAAACCACCCCTTCTTCAGAGCTCAGGAGACTGATCCTGTAGCAAAAAAACTTGAAATCCTTATGCAAGGGTACAAGACTGAATTCTCACTCTTAACCGCTGTCTGTACTCTTCATCTAAACTGAAGATGCTGATGCAGCAGCAAGGGGCTGTAAAACAGGTTATCTTAGGTACAGGGCCCACAAGTATTCTACACTGAACTCTGTAAAATTTCTTAAGAGATTTGATTATACTGAATTCTCCAAAGCCAAATGCTGATCTACTTCCCTCCTCGCTGCTCATTATTAAATAGTTGATACTTTTTTTAAAAAACTTATCAGCCAACACGATTTTGCTATTTTATAACTAAATAAATAACACACCTCAAGTCAGCAACAATCATTTTCATCACAAAGCAAATGGTAGGGCACAGTGCCCTACAGATAGCAAACCATCCTGTTACATTCAGTGGTCACCTCAATTTTAAGTTCCAGATTTATAGTAGGAGAGACAGATAACATGATGACAGATGTCCTCATTGCCCAGAATGTTTGGACAAAGGCTCCTTCTCAAACAGCTGAATGCAATTCAAAACTGAGGTTATTAGGCATTCCATCTTATATAATAGAATGATAAATAAAAATCAGTTGAAGGACAAACACATCGTAACCACTTATCTAATGTGGTTGTACTGTATTATGAATGGATGGTTTAAGTCATTATTAATCCTTGTCTACCTCAAAGTATAAAGCCTGGTGAGATAAGGTAGACAATAAAAAGGAAGGAAAAGGCAATCAAGGATATTTCACAAGAAAACACTAAGAACCCTTTTATCTCTACTGATGAGAAGTCTGAGATGCTGGAGTTCCCCCTGAAAAGTACCACTGAGTGCTCCCCAGAACCCAAGGAACCAGGAGATCAATGCCTGCATTGTTTCACTCAGAACACAGACTTAGTAAAAAATATGGAATCTACATTAGCGTTATAGTTAGCCAAAACTTTCCCTCAGTTATAAATTTGATAAAGTTTGACCACTACAGGAGTAGTTTCATACACATGCAGGAAGTCATTGCCAAACAGATGAGCTAAGGAATACCATCTTAAAGGCAGCGCTACAACTTGTCTTACCCGACAGTGATAAAATCCACTCTCCTTTCTCTCCTTTCTTTGGAAAAGTACAGCTGCCAGAAAAGGCAGCACTCTGGGTGGAACTGAGCCCCGCAGCACCCCATGGAACATGGAAAAAAATGGCCCGTTGTCTCAAAAGAAAACCTGGCCAAAAAAAAAAAAAAAAAAAAGCAGAAGAACCCCCAGACGTCTGGCTGCGAAGAGCTGCTTGCTACAGGCTTAGTCTGATGTTTCACACAGGACTGGGCTTCATTCCAGCTGTGAAGCAGAGGTGTGGCCTGCACTTGTCAAACAGCCCAGTCCTAAGCGTCACTGGCAGGTTTTTCAAATACTGGTGAAAGATAGCAGCAAAGCAGCACTGGAGATGGAAGCTCTGGCTATGCAAAAGCATTGCTGTGATAAGGCTGCAACCTCAAAACTCCCATTCCAGGTTTTCTTTCAGAGTTCCAGTGGTCTTATTTAGGACTTGTGCTGGAATTTGGAAAGAGTTTGAAAACATCCATGGTCAAAGAATATTTTTAAATAGGAATTCCAGTCTTACAAGCCTTGAATTTATCATTGGCTGTAGCTGTTCAGAGACATTTCAGAGAGCCCTGAATGAGGCACTGTGATTTGGTCTGCCTTTGAATGCATCAGAGAACAATCATCCAACACCACATCTAACTGTGCACGATGTGAGCAGTCTGTGCAAGTCCCTCCTTTATTCTCCTTTCCTCACAGCACTGTCCTCATTCTTCCACCAAAGTTTCTTGAAATGTTGTACAATGGATTAGGTTGTGGATCTATTGTGCTTTCAGAAATATCTTAGTAGTAACAAATGGAAATGATGAGGTTTTTAAAACAGTTACACTTCATGCTTTTATTAAACTGAAGCACAAGACAAGAAACTTACATGCTTCAGTAGTTAGATAGTAGTATCAGACGTATGAAAGCCAGCAGTGCAGCATGTCACCAATGCAGATAAACATGAGAACGTGACACACTACTAGCAAGATCCCATTAATTAATCACTTCCTGTTGTTAGTGTCAGTCACTAGATTAGAACGTAAGAAAATTAATAAAGCACAGGCACTGGTATTTGAAGTACAAGTCAGTACTAGTCAGTGAATTCACAGACTTACAGGCAAAAAAGCAAATATGCTACCAGTGCGAAACAGCCAGTGATTGCTTTAAACTCTCATGATGCGTTAAGTGCTATGTAAACACATCTGAAAAAGTGCTTTCTTTACATTTCACCTTACCATTGCACTGAAAGTTAAGAGGCCTATTCTGTTTTATTTATTAAAAAAAGCAGACTCGTAAGCATCATGACTGTGAAATACAGGAAAACTGAGGCAATATGTTCTATTTTGTGAGTGTCCAACTGCATTTAAGTCAGGCTTACCTGCCTTTTCTTGAAGTTCTCTGCTCTCTTCCAATGAAATCTCACCACAGGAATCTAATGTTTATAGAATTTCTCTCTCAAGAAAGTCTAAAAGCTTTTAAAAACATATATATAAGAACTGTTTCATAGCCATAGGTTCATGCATTAACTGTTTGTGAATAGTTTTAGCTATAGAGACGCTGCTGACAGCCACCTTAATTTCCAAAGATCTGCTTACTTCGGTCCATTCCTATGGAACTAAGAAAGCAAACAAGGAAAATAACATCAAAACACAAAATGAGAAAGACGGTCTCACATACGATAACTTCATTTCTGGGGGGATTAGTATCAGCATAGTATTGGTAGGATCATTAGCACCATTAGTACCAGTGGTCAAGACACACGTGTATCTACATTTCAGTTAATATTCTGTCATGTTATGAACAAACAACATGCACTACTAACTATATTATATAATACTTAAAATACGCATAAAAATTGAAGATGAACCCTTTATCAAGACTCCAAGGAATGCTCTCAGTGTTTTTTGTTGATTCATTCTTTATTGCTGCTTCCCCCACCCCAGTTCAACTATCTGTGAGGGAGACAAAGACTTTACCTCAGAGCCAGTATCTCCCATTTCTGTAGAATGGGAAAACAAGCATGTATGTTCTATTTCCACCACTACAGTGGTCTGACCTAAAAAAAAGTCAAGCAACTGCAAATCTGTGAGCCTTAGTATTTCCTGACTTGAGCACACTGTTGTTCAACCACCTTCCCCCTGAAACAGTGCATCACCACTCAAAAAAACCACATCAATGATTTTAGTATTCTCTAGTAAATATGTATTTAATTGTATAAGACTTTCAAAAACATTATTCAAAGGATACAAAAGTGTTTTTAGTAGTATTTTGAGAACATTCACAAACATACTATAAACTTGTAAATCCAAAGTAGAAGTTGAGAAGCAGTAACAGCTCTCAAGCGACATGGCCTTATCTGAATTACACAATCAAGCAGAAGTGATGCTGAGAGCCCCTGCATTAAATCTGACTTCCAGAAGAAAGCAATGATTATTAAAATAAACTGAATAGCCCAGAAAGCTTAACTGCACAATGATTGAAACACACACTGCTTCACAATATTTATTATAATCTATTGCTTTAGACAAACTGCTGTATGGTTAAGTAAATCCAAGCCACATTGTAAGAACCAACCAACCAAAAAAAAAAAAAAAATACAGCACAAATCACTTATTTGTAAAGGCTATGCAACAAAGATGAACAGAGGCACAACCTTAACCATGAAAGTAAGAGCACAATGAAGTTCCTCATATGCGAATACCACTCTCCAGGTAGTAGATGATGAAAGTAAATAAAAATCAGTATTAAATCTAAGGTAGGTAAAAATCAGAGCAATATTGTCGTATTTGTATATAAAGAATACAGGGCCTGATAAACACCCTTCTTTCATTCTCAATGATCTGTAAACACAACTCTCCCAAACTATCTTCCCTCTGTACCTGAACTAGTATATAAAGACCTATACAGAATGTGCAAATTGAATATAAGTACTTTAGACTCTTTTCTTCAAATAGAAGAAATACAAGGTTAAAAACACTAATACCACAGATTCCCTCTTCCGAGACTCTACAGAAAGACATTAGTAGCAATACCACCCAAGATATCCAAGCACAAAAGTAGCAAAACACTGGACCATGAAATTCATAGGAATGCACAGTATATAAACAATAAATAGAAACACGTGGAAAAGGAAAACAGTTACCAAAGGAAACCATTAACAGTGGTAAATTAAAGTGAATTAGGACTCCTGACAGCTTACTGCAGATCTGTTCCTAAAAAACACATCCATGTAACAATGGCTTAACTAAACCTACAAAGTTAGCTGAGATTTAGTTACACCTTAGGCAGAAAGGCTTTATTACTCAATCATTAAGATGTAACATCTGATAGTTACATATCATGAACAATATTATCTGATCATCACAAATTTATAAGTATTGCTGGAGTCAATTTGGAGACAGAAATCAAGTCAATTAACTTATGTACTACTTCTGCCCTTTCAATACTGCTGCTCACATTCTTTCTGCACCAATCACACATTTCAGTATTTCCAGTATTGATGTGCAATAGATTACAGCTTACAGAAAAATAAGTTAGACAAAAAGATTACAGCCTACAAGGTGTATGGTACAACCCAGTTTTTGCAATTTAGACCTCTGGCCCAAGAGTAACTTAAGAACAGTACCAGCCTGCACAGAACGCAGTTGTTCCAAAGCATTTGAAAAAGAGAGATGTTGAAATAGTCTAAATTTTACTTCAGTGCTGGGAAGTGAAACAGTGACCAAAGAGCTTTATATACATAACATCTTAAGTGTAGTCAAGAAGTTAAAGCAATAATTGTAGGTCAGTCCCTCAAAAAGTTGCTTTCCAGCGTGTTCTTTGCTTTTTATATGAATACAGATGTGAACTTCTTAGAACAGTCTCTGAGCTTCCAGTCATGCTAAGAGTGACCAAAGTCAGCCAACAGCACACAAATTAATTCAATTTACAGTTCTCAAAAACAAAAACAAAAAAAAACCAGCAGCTCTTCAGTGATACATTTGCTGTTTGCCTGACTATCCCCCGTGCAAATTCTTTTTATCTGAAAGTCAGGTGATAACACTGAACATCAATAAACGAATTCCTTTGGCCAACATTTAAATATTCCCATTACTGTGATGAAAATAAAACTATTTTCTACATCTCGAAATAGGCATAGAAGCCTTCTTTATGCCATACATCTAGTGATTTACATGCGATGGTGATACAGTTGCAATGACTCAAAATACATTTTCTTTTTTGAAGGACTATTTACACACAAGGCCAAATCACAACATTGTTACCCCAAGGAGGACTTCTGCTGTAAAAGTTGTCTTGTGAACAGCTTACAATTGTCTGACAACTCATTGCACAAGTTGGAGTGCATTACAAAGCTTACGGCTGATCAGTTTTTATTCTTCATCTGAGTACTTAGAGGTTCAACATAGTTGTCAGCACTACAATGACAAGATTAAGTCATTTTCTAATAAATCAATATGACCGTATAGGTACAGTCTGTCCTTAGATACAAATGACTTCTACTTAATGAGAACCTAGAAACAAGCCTCAGTAATCTCAGAAGCATCAACTTTTTAAGCCATCACTTCTGAACTTCATAGGAGTGTTGGGATTATTGAATAAGTCCAGGTCAGGTGTCCAATGTGTTGACTTCTTTGGAGCAGAAATAATGCACAACTATTGCGTTGGGGTATCGGGCAAATGCACTGTGAAGAGATAGAACACAAAAAGATTAATTTTTTTGATACACAGCAAATGCAGTTTTCTCTGTTGGAACAAGAACAAACAAGTGTTAAAAACAGAAAAAGGTGTTTACACAGAACTGACTCTTTCCTATTGAGATTTCACCCTGAATATTCTGTTGATAAAATCAGACAAAAGTGTTCTATGGATTTTGAGAGTATCATTAAAAAAAAAAAACTATTTTCATTTCTATAGGCACACTTTTCTTAGAAGTCACTAGTACCATTTTGTAGCTGATTTTGGTTTTAAGTTTCATTCTAGTTTTTGGGAGACCGTGTGGTGACTTGCTGACATGGCAGTCCTTCAAATCCTTACTGAAATTCACAGCATTAAAAAAGCCCTAGACAACCAAACCAACATAATATACGCAAACTTTAATTCTGATGTTACAAG